ATAATTTAATAAATCAGAGATACATGTTGTAAGCTGTAGAATAAGTCCTTTTTAAAAGCCAGTAGAAGAATGTATAATTAACAACTAAACAAAGGAGGAAATGATAATACAAATTACATAATCAGTGCATAACAAAGCAAGATGGGAAAGGTAACAAAACAGGCAAGATAAACGGAAAGAAAACATTGATATAAGAGAGTTAAACTCAAATATATCAATAATTATGTTAAGGGCTTCCTGGGTGGCTCAGTCAGTGAAGCACCTGTGTTTGGTTAGTTAAGTCTTGGGTCCTGGGATCCATCCTGGCATTGGGCTCCCTGCTCAGTGGGGTTAGGGTTAGAGCTTTTGCTTCTCCCTGTGCCAGCTGCTCTCTCTGCTTGTTCACCCTGTCTCTGTCAAATAAATTAATAAAGTCCTTTTAAAAAAAAAAAGCTGTTTGAAACAAAGTGCATGAAGTATGTTATACAGTTTAAGGGTTAGGGTTCATTCATTCTGAATCCACATTGCCAGGTGCCCTTCCTCAGCTGTCAGCTGTGACTCCTGACTTAGCTGTTATCGTCATTTCCTCATTTTTCTTTAGAATTTTAGCACCTAGAGGTGCCTCTGTGGCTACGTTGTTGAAGCATCTGCCTTCAGCTCATGCCATGTTCCTGCGGTCTTGGGATCAAGTCTCTCTTTAGGCTCCCTGCTCAGGGGACCCTCTTCTCCTTCTCCTGGCTCATGCTGTCTGTTGCTGTGTCTGTTTTTCTCTCTCAAATAAATAATTAAAACCTTAAAAAATAATGATTCTGTTCAATGTAAATGAACTGAACAGATTAATGAAATGACAACGATTATTAAACCGTTTAAAAAAAGAAAATATACTCTTCTTTAATGAAACAAGATGGGATTGGGAGGGAGAGAAACCATAAGTGACTCTTAATCACACAAAACAAACTGAGGGTTGCTGGGGGGAAGGGGTTTGGGAGAGGAGGGTGGGGTTATGGACGTTGGGGAGGGTATGTGCTAAGGTGAGTGCTGTGAAGTGTGTAAACCTAGCGATTCACAGACCTGTACCCCTGGGGCCAAAAATACATTATATGTTTATTAAAATAAATAAATAAATTTATTTATTTTAAAAAAAAATAAAAAAGAAAGAAAATATAACCGTGCTATTTATAAAAAAAAAAAAACGGAAGTTACATGTAAAAATATAGGAAGATCGAAAGTAAAAGGGTGTAAGAAGTATACTATGCGAACGGTATCCAAGAATCAACAGAAGTAGATACAGTAATGACGGGGAAAAAGGGGGTACCGCTACCCATTCCCCTTTCCGGGGTCTTTCCTGCGCCACCTGGCACTGTGTAGCGTGCTTGTCAAGAGACGAAATGATGACAGTCCAGTAATTTGGAACAAAGGGAGGCCCGAAGGGGCTGCACCCCATAGCACTAGCAAGAAGGGCAGGCGCCAGGAAGAAGGTCCGGTCCGGAGGGCGGGGGGCTCTCGGCTGTATTATCGTGGAAAGTAAAGTATGCGGAGGGAAAAATAGCTCCAGAGCGTGATCACGTGAGGGGCAGTCGGGAGCTGTGTACGTGACTGATACTGTGGACCCTAGTGGGCCATTAACCAGAGGGTGACAGGGCACGGGAGAACTGGCCTCAGCAGGCCTAGCTCTCGTACTGGCCCCCGGTTGTCACTGTTTGCAGCACGGGATATGCCTAAATTCAAAGATCGAACCACTGTGGAAATCTCAGGCTAAAGTGTAGGAATCTTTACTAGACAGAGGTGTGTTGTGTAATACCCATTTTGTGGACACAGAAAACTAGATGATATCCTGGGCCATAAAGCAAGTCCCAGAAACCTTAAACAATTACAGCTACACTGGTTTTTTGTTTGTTTTTCTTTGGCCGCAGTGAAATGAAGTTAGAAAATAGTAATGAGGAAACTGGAAAATCTCCCTAAAATGTGTAGTACACTTTTAAATGACCTACAGGTCACACTATAAAAATCACAATGTAAATTAGAAAATATTTTAAAACTGACTGAAGAATAGCAATATTACATATCAAAATTCATGGCCAGAAGAATTTTTATGGCAGTCAAAAAGTGAGAATAGGCTGTATGAACCTGTGACGATGGCTGTTTGTCCAAAGCCATAGAATGTAGACTGAACCATAATGTAAACTGTGGTCGTTGGGTGACAAAGATGTGTCAGCACAGGTTCATCAGTTGTGACAAATGTAACAAATGTGGTAAGGCATGCTGTTAGGGTTACGGTTGGGAGAAAGGGATTATATGAGAAATCTCTTATCTCACCCTCAATTTTGCTGTGAAAAAGACTTCTCTGAAGAAATAAAATCTTAATTAAAGAAATGTTTAGTGGGCAAAAGAGCTGAACAGATACTTGGCCAAAGAAAAGATACAGATGGTAATTAAGACTATGAAAAGATGTACAACATAATATATAACTAGGGAAATGCAAATTAAAATACTGAAGTATCATGCACAACTATTAGAATGCCTAAATTTTAAAAAACTGACTATACCAATGTAGAGCAAGGATGCACAGAACAGGACTTCTGGTTCATCGCTGATGGAATACAGAATCGTCCAGCTACTGTGGATGACAGTTTCAGACTTTCTTATAAAGTTACATATAGATTTAGCGTGTGACCCATCAGTTATGCTCTTAAATATGTATACCCATGTGATCTGAAATCTACTAAATGGAAAAATGTATTCTTTTAAAAGATTTTATTTATTTATTTGACAGAGAGGGAGATCACAAGCAGGCAGAGAGGCAGGCAGAGAGAGAGAGAGGAGGGAGCAAGCTCAGCACTGACCAGAGAGCCCGATGTGGGGCTTGATCCCAGGATCCCGGGATCATGACCTGAGCCAAAAGCAGAGGCTTAACCCGCTGAGCCACGCAGGTGCCCCAAAAAATGTATTTTTGTATGTGCATATGGAAGGTTGGAGATTTCAACTGTGTGTGATCTGGAAGTTGGTCCTCCAAACTGTTTATTGTTGATGAGCTTTCTTGAAAGAATGGGAATGACAAATATAGAGGAAAGGAGGCTTTCACTTTTCATGTTATATATTTCTGTGTTGACTTTATTTTTCTTTCCTTTTTTTCTTTATACACATGAACAAATACTATTTTGTAAATGAATACAAAACAATGAAACACTTCTACAAATAACAAACATTATGTGGAGTCTGCGCAGTTTTACCAAGCATAGTTAACTGCTTTCTTCTTTGCACTCTGTGTTTGAAAATATCATAAGTAGTGATAGCTTCTTAAGTGGTGGCTGGGATTGCAGAATTATTTACGTTTGTTTTCTTAAGAAAGGTACTTTCTTAAGAAAGTACCTGTTATACACATGCTCAGTAATATTTGTTGGGTGAAATAATGAAGGAATGAATAAATATACTTGCTTCAGATTGCTTTTTGTGGGGAGTAATCCAACGTAAGGGAGAAGAGTGAGAAGAGTATTTGATTAAGAATTGAGCTTTAGGGGCACCTGGGTGGCTCAGTGGGTTAAGCCTCTGCCTTTGGCTCAGGTCATGATCCCAGGGTCCTGGGATAGAGCCCCACGTCGGGCTCTCTGCTCAGCGGGGAGCCTGCTTCCTCCTCTCTCTCTGCCTGCCTCTTTACCTACTTGTGATTTCTGTCTGTCAAATAAATAAATAAAATCTTTAAAAAAAAAAAAAAGAATTGAGCTTTAGACCAGGGGTTGGAAAGATTATACTTTAAAGGACCAAATTGCAAATATTGTAGACTTTGCAGGCCACATATGGTCTTGGCTTCATATTCCTTTTTGGTTTTGTTTACAACCCTTTAAAAATATAAAATCTGTTCTTAGCTTGTGGACTATATAAAAAGTGGCATGGGCCATAATTTTCCAGCCTCTGTCTTAGATGATAACTGTACGTAGGAAGTTTGGAAACAGGACACAATAGAACACATATATGTAACCCAGATATCAGCAGAGCCCACTTATGCTCTGCTCCTTTCTTGTACCCATAAAATTTCAATAAATTTGACTTTAGCTCTGTTATTTGGAACCCTCCCCAGGTCATCAGCATACTCTGTCACATCTCTAGCTATGGCCTTTGTGTTTATGATTGGTATCATCCCACATCAACATGAAATTCAGTCATTTCATCAGCTTACACACATACACACACGCACACACACTCGTACATATGCACTGAAAATAAGCCTTTTATGGGTTTAGTGACCTTACAGGGTTATTCACATCAAGCATCATACAGCTTCTATACAGTTGCATGCCTTTCTCTGTCTTTTCCCACAGGACAAATTAATTATTTTAAAGGTATTATGCAAATGAAGTTTTTAAATTAATTTTCCTGAAGCCATAACACTGAGGGAGTCACCAACTCTAAGCAGGTTTATCAAGGTACTTTTACCAACAGATATATTTTATCCCTAGCATTAAGTATTATAATAATTAGAATAATAGCAGCTGACATATATAGGACTTACTATAGGACAGACACAGTTTAAGTACTTTAGTCTTCATACTAAACCCATGAAATAAGTATTATTATTATTATTCTCATTTTACAAAACAGGAAACCAGAGTCACTGAGAATTTAAGTGACTTGTTCACAATCCCACTTCGTCAGTGGAAAAAGGTTTCAAGAAGTCATATGAGGGTGTCACAAGTGGAAAGGCCCAGAAGGATGAGTTCTGAAAAGCAATTCTTATATGTGGTTGGAAGGTTAAAATTAGTGAATTTTGAAAGAACCACCAGCTAAATAGTATGATAGAAGCAAGATTATAAGGCATAAATAAAAGTAGCTGGTGAGAAAATGGAAGTAATGGTTATAGACAACTTATGCTCAACTTTTCAGAATATTTCTTTTGTTTAATCCTCTGTAGTTGAGGTAATTTAATTATATTCTTTTATATAGTTACATCTGTAGTGTTATTCCTGCAACCTCATAAAAGTTCTTAAATGTTACTAACTCTCTCTCCTTATTGTCAAATTTTCTAGGATGTGGTGCCACAGGTTGTCCCACCTACAAAGGAGTCTCCAGAACCTGCTGAGGAGAGGAGTCACATGTTGGGCCTTCCAACAGCCCAGCTTCAAAAGCTTATTTCCATTAGCCATCCATTGGCACCATACAGCCTCTGAGTCTCTAAATTGTGCTTGGCAGCAACATGAAGATCATTTTGGTAAGATATGTGGAGATAGATACTTTATTTTTTTAACTTTGTTTTAATTTAAGTTAACAGATAGTGTAGTATTAGATTCTGGTGGACAGTATAGTGATTCAGCAGTTCCATGCAACACCTGGTGCTCGTCACAAGTGCGCTGTTTAATCCCCGTCCCCTATTTCCCCCATCCCCCCAGCACCTCCCCTCTGGTGACCATCAGTGTCTTCTCTATAGTTAAGAGTCTATTTCTTGGTTTGCCTCTCTGTTTTTCTCGCCGTTTGCTCATTTGTTTTGTTCCTTAAATTCCACATATGACTGAAATCATAAGGTATTTGTCTTTCTCTGACTTACTTCGCTTAGCATAATACTCTATAGCTCCATCCATGTCATTGCAAATAGCAAGATTTCATTCTTTTTCATGGCTGAGTAATATTCCATTATGTATATGCCACATAAATGAAATTTAACATCTTACCCATTTACCCTTTAAAAGATTTATTTAGTTGAAAGAGAGAGAGTAAGGGGAGGGGAGGGGGGGCTGGAGAGAGAATCCTCAAGCAGATTCCCTGCTGGGCACAGAGCCTGAGATGGAGCTGTATGCCAGGACTCTGAGTTCATGACCTGCGCTAAAAGCAAGAGTCGGCTGCTTAACCGACTGAGCCACCCAGGTGCCCCATCTTACTTATTTCCTAAGTATACAGTTCAGGTGGTAATTATGTTTACATTGTTGTGCAATATCAGTTACTGATTATGTGGACTGAACATACTTTCTCTGAAGTCTACAGGACCTCTAACTGTTTATCTCCAAGATTATCCTACAGGTTGCAAGAAAGACAAAAATAATCTCATCTCAGCAAGGGGAAGGGAGCATTGCTCTACTCCAGTTCCACTCTGTCTCTCTATCTCATATAAGGGGAAAAAAAGAAATAAAAGAAAGCCTCAGTATATAGGGAGGTGGGTTTCAAAGGCATAGACTGTGAATGATACAGCCAGGTAAAGTATTAGGTAGCAGAAGGGGCAGAAAAAAGCTTTATGCCTGTGTATAAGTTTCCTAAAACTGCTATAACCAATTACCATAAACTAGTTGGCTTAAAACAACAGAAATTTATTTTTTCACAGTTCTGGAAACTAGAAGTCTGAAATAAAGGCATTGCCAGGGATATACTCCCTCCAAAGGCTCTTTTTGTCCCCTTCTAGATTCTGACAGTTGCTAACAATCCTTGACTTGTGGCAACATCATTCACTCTCTGCTCGTTGTCACATGGCTTCTTCCCTGTGTCTTCTCACATATCTTTCTTTGTAAGGACACCAGTTGTCAGGTTTAGGGCCCACTCTAGGCCAGTAGGACTTCATCTGATCTTGATTATCTTCAAAGACCCTCTTTCCAAATAAAGTCTCATTCACAGATACTAGAGATCAGGACTTCAACATCTTTTGGGGGAATACAATTCAACCCATAAACCTGGAAAGGGACAGAAACAATTGTGAAGGTTACAATCCAAAGACAGACATAGTCCCACTGTTCACTCCAAAGACTGAGATTTAATCCAAATATTAGATAATGCCCTAACCAGCTAATACACCTCCTGTTAAAGTAACAGCACATTGCAGCTGGGAGAGCTGCAAGAGACAAACTGTTTCTGCGATCTATCACAAAGAGAAGGGCCAAGGCCAAGAGGGGAGATAAAAACAAGGTCACTAGAGGAATTGATGCCTTTGGTATCCATAGAGAGAAGAAACATTAGACGTAACCCATCTCTTGGCCAGATTGGTATAAATACTCACCCTAAAGTCCTGTTTACCTCAGTGTCTACTGCTTTATACAACATGGTTGCCTTTTAACAACAACAAAATTACAAAGCGTGCTAAAAAGCAACAAATAACAATTTGAAGAAGCAAAGCACCATCAGAACTAGACTCATATGTGACACAGTTGTGGAAAATATTGGTCAGAAAATTAAAATTGCTGTGATTAATATGTTAAGGACTCTAATGGAGAAGGTAGACAAAATGAAAGACCAGATGGATAATGTCAGCAGAGTGATGAAACACTAAGAATTTTCTAAAATCAAAATCACAGTAACAGATTTAAAGAATGACTTGGTGGGCTTATCAGAAGACTTGACACATTTAAGGATAGAATAAGTAAATGTAAAGGATAGGTCAATAGGAATTACCTAAACTGAAATGCAAGAGAGAGAGATAGAAAACAAAAATATATACAATATTCGGAAACTGTGGGACAATACCAAGGGATAGAGAAAGAAACACCATGCAAATAATCAAATCAGTCGTAGCTATATTTCAGACAAAGCAGTCTTCAGAACAAGGAAGAGTATTAGGGATAAAGAGGCATATGATCAGAGTGATAAAGGAATCAGTTATTTAATGGAACATGTAACAATCCTAAAAATGTAGCACCTAAGAACAGACCATCAAATTACATAAAGCACAAACCGATAGAGATAAAAGTGGAAATAAAAAATCCACAATTGTCCTTGGAGACTTTAAAACCTCTCAGTCATTGATAAATTAAGAAGGCAGAAAATCAGTAAGGACATAAATAACCTGAACAGCACTATCAACCAACTTGACCTAATTGACATTTATAGAACAATCCATCCAGCAGAAGTAAAGTACACATTGTTCTGAAATATAAATGAACATCCACCAAGATAGACCACATTTGGGGCCATTAAAAAAGGCTCAACAAACTTAAAGGAATCTAAAACATAGAATATGTACTCTGACCACAAGGGAATCAACTAGAAATCAATAATAGGAAAATAGTTACAAAAGTCTCTAATATTTGGAGATTAAACTATACAGTTCCAAAAAATGTATAGGTATAAAGTCTCAAAGTTAAAAATACTTTGAACTAAATGAAAATGAATATGCGGCTTATCAAAATTTATGGTAAGCAGCTAAAGCAGCAGTTGGAGGGAAATATGTAGCAATAAATGCATTTATTAGAAAAGAATAAAGGTCAAAAGTCAATAACCTATACTTCTCCATTGGGAAATTAGATAAAGAAGAGCAAGCGAAAAGAAGGAAATAGTAGATATTAGAGCAGAAATCCATGATATTAAAAATGGGGAAGAAAAAAACAAGAATATCAATAAACTCAAAGCTGTTTATTTAAAAATATCAATAAAATTGATAAGCCTCCAGCCAGACTAACCAAGGAAAGAAGGGAAAAGAGACAAATTACCAGTGTCAAGAATTTTTACCACTGATTCTACAGATACTAAAAGGACAATAAGAGGAATACCAGAAATAACTTTATGCCCATAAATTTGATAATTTAGATGAAATGGACCAATTCCTACAAATATGCTACTGTAGACTGAATTGTTCCCCCCAAATTCATACTGAAGCCCTAACCCCCCCCCCCATATTACTGTATTGCAGATAGGGTCTGTAAGGAGGTGATTAAATGAGGTCATAGGGATAGAGCCCCGGCCCAAATGAACTGGTGTCCTTATAAAAGAGGAAGAGTAGTGATAATTTCCAGTGATAGCTCCCAACCCCCAGCCCTCTTTCTTTCATGAGGACATAGTAAGAAGGTGGCCTTCTACAAACCAAGAAAAGAGCTCTCAGCAGGAACCGAATTGGTTGCTGCCATGCTCTTGGACTTCTAGCCCCCAGAACTGTGAGAAAATAGATTTCCATTGTTTAAGCCACCCTGTCTATGGCATTTTGTAATGGCGGGCTGAGCAGAATAAGACAGACACAAACTACCAAAACGTATTCAAGAAAAAGTAAATAATGTGAATAGTCCCAAATCTTTTAAAGAAATAGTAGTAAAAAAAATTAAAAAAAAAGAAAACACCTAGCCAAGATGGTTTCGCTCATGAATTCTACCAAACATTTAAGAAAGAAATATCATCAATTCTATACATTCTGTTCCATAAAATCAAATAATGAGGGACATTTCCCAACTTATTTTTTTAAAGATTTTATTTATTTATTTCACAGAGAGAGAGATCACAAGTAGGCAGAGAGGCAGGCAGAGAGAGACAGATAGAGGAGGAAGCAGGTTCTCCGCTGAGCAGAGAGCCCGATGCAGGACTCGATCCCAGGACCCTGAGATCATGACCTGAGCCGAAGGCAGAGGCTTAACCCACTGAGCCATCCAGGCGCCCCCCAACTTATTTTTTGACATCATCATTACCTAATGCCAAATTTAGACAAAAACAATAAAAGAAAGGAAAACTATAGAGCAGTATTTCATGAACATAAACACAAAAATCCTTACCAGAATATTAAGAAATGGAATCCAACAATATTTAAAAAGGATAATACATCCAGACCCAATAGGGTTAATCCCAGGAATACAAGGCTTTTTCAACATCAAAAAAAAAAAAAAATCAGTGTGGTCCACCATATGAATAGACTAAGAAATGCCATATGGTCATCTCATTAGGTTCAGAAAAACAATTTAGCAAAATTCAGTACCCATTTATTACAAAAGCTAAAAAAATTGGGAATAGAAAGGGACTTTCTTAACCTAATAAAGGACATATATATGAAAATTATACAATAAGCATCATACTTAATGTCGGGAGACCAAATGCTTTCTCCCTAAGGTCAGGAATAAAACAAGGATCTCCCTCTCTCACCACTTGTGTTCAGCATTGTTTTGGAAATCCTAACTAGGGCAGTAAAGCAAGAAAAATAAAGACATGCAGATTAGAAAGGAAGAAATATAACTTTTTCATAAATGGTAAGATTATCTATTAGATCTCCCCAAAGATCTACAAAAACACATGAAAGTTGCATTTTACAAGGTTAATAAACAGAAGTCATTTGCTTTCCTATATAGTAACAACTAACAACTGGAATTTGAAATTAAGAAAGTAGTAACATCAAAAAATAAGTACTTAGCTTAAGTAGTTAAATACTTTAGAATCTGTATATAGAAAACTACAAAACACTGATGGAAGAAATGAAAGAACTAAATAATTGGAAAGACATTTCGTGATCATGGATCAGAAGACTCGGTATTGTTAAAATGT